GATCATTTTAGCTTAAATCATCATTTTTCTTTTGATGTGTTGGTAAAAAGGGTCTCTTGATCACCATTAATTATGATTTATGTATATGAACTGAGTTATGGCCTTATGTGGTGGAAGTTTTTTGTCTTTTCTTCTTTAATATATGATCATTCAACTGAAATTATTGTTTGGTGTTTAATAAGATGATTGAAAAGTGAAAACCATTAGGGGCCATGAGGGTCTGAAAATCTTCTGAAATTCTGATGATCTTTATTTTAATTCTCCTTTTTTTATTTTATTTATTTTTTATTCATGCAATTTTATATATCTTGATCTTTTTCTTTATTTTCCCCTTTTTTGAGCACCTTTTTTTTGCAGAAATTTCTGTTGAATTTGGATTTGCAAAATGACAAGGACCAGCAGAGGAGGGCTATGAAGACTGTCTCTAGTCTTTCAGGTATATTATTAGATCTCTGCAAAAGATCATTTAGGGAAGAAAAAAAAAACTATAATTATGAGTGGCCTTTTGGTTATAAATGCAGTAAATAATTCAGTTTTATTGGGGTTTATAAATGAACAGTGGAATTATCTGAAGAAATGTCTTTTCTTGGATAAAACTCATAACATGTAAACAAAAGGTGAGTTTTTCCCCTTGGTTGTATTAGGTAAAGAGGTTGAGTTCATTTGAAGATAAATAATAAGTTAAAATCTTGATGGAATGGTTAGTTGAACAATCTTACTCACCTGTTTTGCCCTTCACAATTGGCACATCAAAATCTCCTTAATCACTCTTTGAAAATACATTGCTTTCTCCACATTTGAAGAAATAGTGCTTTCCCCTTTCCATTTGCACAATTTTCCCTTATATCTCGGTAGATAAGAAATCGGATTTTGCAACGTAACATTGAAAGTGATGGTGCGAAAGTATGCATCTTCTCGTGATCGCCACAAATGCAAAGTAATGGTGCTTTCTAACTCATATAATTGAAGTAGTGTCATACACTATATGATTAATTCTCATGATCCTCCTTTTTTATGTTTTCTTTTTAGTTAATCACAATTCGTATATTATGTTTTTCTTTTTAGGAATTGATGAAATCTCGATTGATCTCAAAGGAAAGAAGCTACTAGTGATCGGGACAGTCGACCCTGTGAGCGTCGTGAGCAAGTTGCGCAAAAAGAATTGGTCGGCCCACATAATCTCGGTTGGGCCTGCCAAAGAGCCCGAGAAGAAAGAGGAGCCCAAGAAAGAAGAACCCAAGAAAGAAGGGGAGCCCAAAAAGGAGGAGCCCAAGGAAGAAGCTAAGAAAGAGGAGCCCAAAAAGGAAGAAGCTAAGAAAGAGGAACCGAAAAAGGAAGAAGCTAAGAAAACCGACGAGCCCAAAAAGGAGGAAATGAAAATGAAATTCGAGCTACCACCCGAAATGGCTATGCTTGGTGCACCTCAAGCATTCCCTTATCGACCATATAGACCATATTACCCTCCGCCACCACCTATGAACCCGTACTACCATGTGAACCACAGCATTGAAGAGAATCCAAACGCTTGCACTATTTGCTAAATGTGATAGAATATATATAACGGGACGAACTTAAGTCAGAATTTTCTTGTTATGCATAGAATTATTATGCAAATCTTGTCCCTTGTTGTATATAACTTTTTTAAATAAAATTTTGGTGGTTATAATTCGGTTCCTATGTAAAAGTGTAATGTTCTTTACCTCCATTATGCTTCAAGAGAGGATAGATGCCTTTTGTTGAAGGCTTTGCTGGAAAGGTGTAATTTTCCACGGCTTTATTATTCCTAATGAAGACAAAAGATTTTGATGGCAACCAAATGGGGTGATGATGTATATGATTAAATATATATATATATATATGTGTGTGTGTGTGTGTGTGTGTGTGTAAGATTAGATGGGACAAATTAATATTGCCATCACACATGAAAGCTCTAGTTGTTCAGTCTTGTTTGTAAACACTTGAGCTGTTTTATTTTATGTTAGGAATATCAAATATGCTAAAATTATTGCACAAGGGACTCATGAAGAAAGCAAAAACATGATATTTAATCAAATATGAATATCTGTTGAAAAATATGATTGCCGCCTGCCTAACAGTATCGTTACTGTCGAAAGTATTCTATTCATTAAAATTGGTTCCCCTATTATTATTTAATTATGGTGTGTAAAATTGTAAGTCACTAAATCCTCAATTTTGATGCAATCGCATTCAAAGACAGTTGGGTAAACAAGAAAAAATCAGTTTTACTTGCTAGGTAAATCTGAATTTGTGACATTTGATATCTAAATAAATTTCTTTCAGCTATGACTACGACTATGACTATGCTGCGAAGATTTTTTACCCCAAAAAAAATCCAAATAAGAGATCAAGTTGTTTTTCTGGTGGCTATTCAACTCTTGGAAAAGTCATGGCACAAAAGCGTTGGCGGCAATTTTGTTGACAAAACCTGAATTCTACCAAGTAGACCTCAATTTTGAACCTTAATTTACTTTTCACCATGACAAGTAAAATAAAGTAAGCTGAAACTATGGAATCATTGTCTACTCAGATATTCACAACTATAGTGATATTATTCACATATAAATTTTAAATTTTAAGGCATTTACATCGTTTAATATGAACAATGAAAAGAGATACTCCAATGCAAATGATTAGTATGAACAATGAAAAAGTTATTTATGAGAGTAAATATGCAAAGTGTTGATAGAACTTCATATCTTTGAGACATTTTGTTAGTCACAAATTCAAATGATATTCACAACTTCCACATCACTATTTCTTGATGAGGACTTTTCAACTAATAATTCAATTGAAGTTTTCAATTGGTCTATGATTATTACACTTCCTTTGGTTGGGGTTAAGAGTTGTTTACTTTCAGATTCACCAATGATGAAAATGTTGTCTCAACCCGGAAAGTGTCTCACAAAACGAATGATGTACATTAAACCTTACGGAAATTAGTCGGTTTAGTAGGGCATATGTATA